CCCCCCCAAACCCCCTCCCTCTTCCCCACAAGAAAAGAAGGAAGAAGAAGAGCAAGTGCCATGGACATGGTTCTGTCCATAATTGTTATTGTTATTAATGTAACCTTTTGGTGTTCTTGTCATTTATAGAGTTATTGATTTTAATATAACCGTTTGGTTTATTGCTATCAAAAAGAGCTGTTGAGTTTTGAACTGAAAGATAAAACAAGAAAATTGGATAAAAGAAGTATAAAGAAATAAGAAAAGAACAACGAAGAAATAAAAATACAAAGAAAAGGATGAAAAAGATAGGTAAATTCAGAAATAAAAAAAAATTTGAAAATAACACTAACACCACATCGCTGCATATTTAAAGCTCAAATGCGTCTTAGAGAGAGTCAAATTCCTCTCAATGTCACTTCTACTCCAGGAGAGGGGGTAATAAATAGAAAAAAAGTGAAGATTAGTGGGTAAAGGAAAACCCAATGATTTAGGTATGTAGTTACAAATATTGACAACTTTAGGGGGTTTTATACATTAACCCAAAAGAAAAAGTTTTGCAAGGGAAACTGCATGGGAGAAGCTGTTATGAAAGGTAGTTTAAAGATTTATTTATTACGCTTAGGCCCCGGTAGTTTTCCTATTTTCTTATTCCTGTTGGAACTATAAGGCGGTACTCCCGTTTGAGCTCCTATTTCAATAAATATTCTTCATATTATTTTAGGAAAACAGTAATAAAATTATCATAATAAAGTAATCTGTAAGCATGATATGTTATTGTGAAAAAACCGGAATAAACAGTCTTCCCTTTTATTTAACAAATTCACTTCCAATACAATCTTTTTCTAATTTACAACAAGTAACGCTTTACTAGTTACAAAAACTCTATAATATAGAGATTTAAGGGTTGTTATGATTCAATTGAAGTTGGAGTTTTTGTGAAGCTTTTGGTTAGTTCAACTTTAACTTTTTCTTTTTTTCTTTTTCATTTGCTTTTAATAAAAAATTAATGTTTAACAATCTTTACCTAAACTTGTTTGAAGCTTGCCATTGGGTGTGGCACGGGCAAAATGCTATGAAGCACACATGTTGGTCTTAGTTCTATGAGATTTATGTACCTCGTGGCCGAATTATGCACCCTAAGAACACTTAACGTTCGGAGCTCGTCTAGTGTCCAAATTGTGCACCCTAAGAACATTCAACTATCGAGACTCGTCTAACAATTTCTTATGAAAATAACTTTTCATTACTCTATACTTTATAAAAGTTGGGAAACAATGATAGAAATATGTAAAATATTAGCAGAAGATTGGGCACAATTCAGCCTTCCAGACTTGTAAAGCTATGTTAAGACTTGCTTACTGTCAAATAAACTACTCTTCGAAATAGTATGGGGAGGGAAAGTGTGATAAGAAAAGAGGATTCAACTTTTTAACGAAATGCAAACACGACATTGTGTCAGTCGAGATAATCAAGCTTATGGAATATCAAACTTTATATTATCAAACTCAATCTTATAGTGAGATGGAATTCTAAATATGGAGTATTAAGTATCACGCAAGTAATATAATCATTCAGCTGATTTAATAAAATATTGAAGTACAATACATGTTTAATGTACTTATTAAATGAGGATTTCATAGCAGTAAAAGCAGAAGAAAAACGGACGGTATTTTTAAGTAAATGTTTAAAACATAAAGGGGTAAAAGAATCATAACAGAAAATATTAAGGGGCAGAGACTGTAATTTCCAAAAAATGGAGGCGAACGGAGCGTGAACTGTTTTCATAACCGTATAACTACCCCAGTTCTTCTTCCATTGGACTTCATTCAGTATTGAGAAGCTTCCATTCCATACATTTCAACTTCAACTTCGTTTTTCTCCATCGCCGAAAATGAGCAGTTCAGAGAACGTGTTTGCAGAGGTGATTGAAGTTGCAAAGTTCATTGATGAATTTCGCGGTCACTACTTTGCCCTGCCAAGCTACCAGGAAAAAATCGACTTATTGAAGGACCAAATCGAACACGCTCTCGAAAAACTCGACGCAATTCCTATAGGTAGCCAAATTTTTAGAAGAATGCATTGAATTCCGAGTTTCTAAATTCAGATGCATGCAATGAAATCTGTTTTAACACGATATGATTAGAATTGTGGTCTGAATCATATATGTATGTATGTTGAATTCTTAGAAAAGAGAGAATCGCAAGATGAGGCAGCAATGTACTTGTATTTGAGAGGAAAACTACTGGATGTATCTCCTGCTTATAATCAGGAAGCAGAACGTCTTCTGACGGATGCTGTGAGTTAAAGTTATTTCTATGCATGCTACTATTTTTGTTTTTCCGATTTCGTTTGTTTCTTATTGATCGGTGGATTTCTGTTATAGGTTAAGTTGAATTCCTCTGTGGTGGATGCGTGGATATGCCTAGGAACTTGTGTTTGGAAGAGAGGAGATCTGGATAAAGCTAAAAGTTGCTTCAACTCTGGCCTTGAGCAGGTGCCGTCATTTTATGCATGCTGCTTAATTCTTGAGTTTTAAGTTTCTTTACTTTCCAAAATTTCTGAATAATGGATTTAATTGTATTTATTGTCTTCAGGATCCGAATAATAAGCAACTATTACTTCAATTATCAGTGCTTGAAAGAAGACAGTGCATAGGCGAAACAGGTAAATATGTCAAATCTGTCGCTACAAGCAATAAGAACTCGTAGCATTTTGATTTTGATACCAGCAAGAATCTGTAGTAAGTGTATTCACATTTTAAACCTTGATTTCGGGATTAATCTGTAATAATTGTACTGACATTTTTTCGAAGTTCCCAATGCTATTTCTGATTACCTATTGTAATATTCTACTTTTCAGAGGTTGAGAATCCAGTAGAAATCATTAACGACTGTATCAAACATGTCAAGGAAGCAATCACTCTGGATATCCAGGATGGAATATCATGGTGTAAGACTGCTTTTTTATACTGAGACCCCCTCTACTTTCCATATACTATGCTATAATTTAGAACTTTGTACAAGACTGAAAAATTGAAGGAACAGAAACTACCTATGTTCTTGAATATGAACATAAAAAGCATCATAAAATTTGTACTTGTCTTGCAAATTGCATGTTATATTTCACTTATAAGCAAAGTAATTTTGGTGTCCTGCTATGTGAAATCAGAAGATTGATTATCCATTACCAAAATTTGGTTACATCCAAACTCGGGTTTCTTTAATGATCTTTCATCTTTTCTCGCAGACATCCTAGGAAACGCATGTCTTACTGCCTATTTTGTGACGGGATGTTGGGACATTAATATGCTTCTGCAGTCACTAAAAGCATACAAGAATGCTGTGAGTATGCATCTCGCCAATTTACCTTGGCATTAAAGCTTCCTCACAATATGCCTACTCCGTCGTCTCCGTTTTATCATTTTCCTCATTGGACATTCTGCAGTCTCTCTTCTAATTTTTCTCATGAGCTTCATATTTGTTTGTTGACTCCGTAACATTTAAGGTTGTTTTGCAGTTTTAAGTCTACATATTTTACTCATAGCCTACTCTAATTTTGTGTTTTGTTTCAGCTGAAAGATGAGAGGATGAAGCTCAGTTCTCATATGTGTTACAACTGCGCGATGGTAAGGCTATTAGCCAATTCTCGTTCCGAATTGTTCTAGCACATAAATTATGTGTACCTGATATTTTCTTGGAGGTTCGTGGAAGCATGTAAGGAAAGGCTTTCTGGAGTCACTTTGATTTAATGCAAGATTGATTGTTGCCTGCTAAAAGTAAACTAAATAGCAAAATCTCTTGATTATCATTCTGCTTTTGCACCTTGAGCATTTTATGCATAGTCAAGAAAGGACAAGAGACTTTCAAAGAAAGCATCTATTTTCTTCACCAGCACAATTCATGTCTGCTTATATCATGTTGTTTGCACTTTCTTCCTTCTCAAATTTCAATACAATGTTTTGGTGAATCTATGATTTGGTTCTATAGACGTACAAGTATTTTGAGGACTATGAGACGTCCCTTTCTGGATTTGAAGCTGCTGAATTACTGGATCCTGATCTTAATGGTCTAGAGCAAGCATTTAATCTGTATGAGATTCTTGAGGGAATAAACTCTTTCCTTCAGGTAAGTTTATTTAATTGTGGCTATTTCTTATAAACTATTTGCAGTCATATTTTCTTTGTTCTGTTGGGAGACATTAAGAAATTCATGATAGACTGCAGTAGAATTCTAAGAGATTTATGTCAAGTCTCAGCAAACAATATCAGCCTAAAAGAGCTGGTTAAGGTGCCATAATCCATGAGATCACACATCTGATTCAGCATTGATTTTTCAAAGTCTGAAGCAGTGAAGCTCCCAGTTAGGGAATCTTCCTATTAAAGGATTATAATGACTAATGATCCATTTATATTTTCTGTCACAAGTGTGGAACTCAAGCTTGAGTTATTGCATCATCAGAATTACATGCATATATTGTGGATGTGTTTCACGACCTAACAACATGATATTTGTATCTTGAGATGCTTTCAAGTGCTGCTCTATATCTGCAAGTTTTGGCTTTGACAACCCTTGACAAGTGTCACCATAGCCACAATAATTAAGTACTCCTACTACAAAAAGGTTGAAGGTACTAATTCCAAGAAAATCTTCATGCACCGAGTATGTTACGTCCATAAGACAAAGGAGTTTATCTCTATCAATCAAATCGTCTTACCCACTTAATTAATAAGCTTAATGAGTCCCTATGTAAGAATATACTGACCTTACTGCTGGTCTTCATTTTTTAAAGCAAGAGAAAACAGCAATGATATCTCATGCATTAGATATTGAGTTTGTTTATGTCTACCACTTCTGACGCCTTTAACTTATCTATTATGCATGAGATTATGAAGGATGTAGTTGAATAACTCTATCCTGTCTTTCAGGATCTGAATGGTTCTCCAACATCATCGCTTCCTACTGTTGAATCGCTAGCATCATCACTTGCTTCTGTTGATTGTAAGCTTTATATGCATCTTAGATAATTTTTTCAAAACAGGGTGATATTGGATTAAGCTTGTTATCCTTAAATTGGGCAAATACTTTCTTGTAGTGAATCCTACATATGAGAAAGCTACTGTGAACCGCCTAATTGAAGGTCCTAATCTAAGCAAAGCAGTCACAGGAAAAGTTCTGTTTTCAGTTAAGAATCCGAGTGAAATTCCAATGTAAGTTACCTCACCTTGGAAGAATCTACAGAAGTTCACTTGTCACTTTTCTCCTTTCCAGTATTCTCTTCGGAAGTGAAATTTAAGCGACACAGCTTCCCGACTGCAGCATTATTTCCTTTTGTCTCAGCTTCTACTCTTCATCTGCAGATACTATGTTGTCTGTGATTCTGACCGCACATGCTTTGTGATTACTGTTTATGGCGTACGCAGCACTGCAGTAAGTGACACCTTTCGTTTAATCTCGGTTACCACATTTGTCTAATTTTGTCTAAGCTGACGAAAAACTGCAATCATTTTTAAGTATACTAGGCAACCCTATCTGACATTTAGTGATCTTCTCTCCTCTACTTTCTTTTCTTGGAAGAAAAATCTTACTGAGGGAGTTATAGTACTACTATTGAATCCCAGTGAGCTACACTTTGAAAATAATGTACAGTAAATTGGAAGTGTAACTTTTTGCAGTGAAAATAATCCCACTAAAGTCTCTTTATACTGAAGAACTGATTTTAAATCCTACGTGTCCATCCAACTCGATTGTTGATTAGGTTAATAAATTTGTGACTTCCTTAAATTCTGCTATTTAAGAGTAGCATGGTGCTTATGCAAAATAAAGAGATGATATAAATCATAAAAGGAAAAAGAGAGGAAAGACTAAGAAAAGTTGCTGATGTTCAGGTGCTCAGTTTCCCGTTAATTTTTCATATTATAAGACCCTTAGATCCTCACATTATAACATTATAAACTATACTGTTGTCAGATCAAAGAAGAAGATCAGGTCACACTATTGGATCCTTTCTACCATATCTTTGATTTTGAATCGAGAGGAAAGGTAACCTTCGATCATATTAATCTCTGTTTCTTTTCTATCCATTGCTGCTCTGGTTTTTCTTTACTTCCATACGTCTCAAATTTTTGCTCTAATTTGAAAGTTATATGTAAGCTGTTACAACCAAGAGGTTGTGAGTTCGAGTCTCCCCAAGAGCAAGGTGGGAAGTTCTTGGAGGGAAGGATGTCGGGGGTCTATTTGGAAACAGCCTCTCTACCTCAGGGTAGGGGTAAGGTCTGCGTACACACTACCCTCCCCAGACCCCACTAAGTGGGATTATACTGAGTTGTTGTTGTTGTATGTAAGCTGCTACAAAAGGCTTTTATTGGTGTCTATGTCAACGTTTCACATGTCAGCTCCATTTTAAATGACCTCCTTTTTTGTTTTATTTTCTGCTTAATATTTCTTTCTCCCCTTCTCGGAGGACACCTCTTACTAGTGGTAATTTTGAATGTTAAAATAGTATAACTAGGTCGGCTAGGGCAACTGGATTTGTCTTTGCAGCTACATTTTTAGATACAGAGTTAGTAGATTTACCCATTTCTACCCAGGCTATACCAACTCTCTTTCTTCACACTCCTAGTTGCTTCCCCGTCCTGGAAACTTGAACTGTTGGTGCAGTCAAAGGCATACATTTCACAGGCATTGATTTGTAGTTTAGTTCTAATCAACTTTTCTCCTATTTCCAAAACCAGATTGTGGCCACAACAATGATGTTGCCAAGATTTCCACCAATTGAGAATTTGAACGAAGTGGTTGGAACATCATTGTGCCCTTTTTTCACTGCAATAGATTGCTAACATAACAGTCATTCTTGTAATCTTTTGTTTTCTGCATGTGATAACACTGTATTTTGTTATTGAAAGTTCTTTTTCCTTCTCATCTATTCACATGTTATATTTTACTGCAGCACTATCAGTTCAAGTCACTGCGGATTGATTTCATGGAACAACTTCGTGTGAATGGAGCAATTGTGTCTCCTGAACATGTAATTCATAGATCAATGTACCCCCAACTCAAGGAAGCATAAGGAGTCTGTGTTCTTCTTTTACATGTGTGTAAGGTGACAAGAGTATTACTGCTGATTGGTTCCACTGAGATGGATTTTCATGTAAATAGTGGTCAAGGAAACAAAACTGATCAAGTTTGCTGAATGCTCATCAAACTTATCGCTAGTCAAGCAATACGCATTTTAGAGCTGTGGTATTGTCTTTTTTTCATCTTCGTTTTAATAGTTCGTGCAATCTTGAGTGCTTGTCTAGGCTCTTTAGCTCAGATATGCTGATATGAGATGAGCTTTTCTTCTTTCATATTATTTGTTTGCAGTCTGTGATTGGTGCGTTTCAATTTGAGATGATTTTTTTGTCTAAGTAGATAGATGATGCATGCAAAGCAAATGCCTATTCTCTTTGTTGTCTTGTTGCATACAATCACGCGAAGCAAAATGCCTATTCTCTTTGTTGTCTTGTTGCATACCATCCACCTGTCGGAACTTGAAGTTTTGTTACTTTGAATCCTTTCATTCTTGACCTCTCTAAGTGTAGTGCTTGCTCCAAGAGATTTTAGAAGACAAATACTATGAGTTAACTGGAAGCAGAGAATGAGGAAAATCCATGAAATAAACCAATACTGTACAAGTTATACAAATCAACCCCCTATTTTACTAGTTTAGATCAGGAACTGGCATAGCATTTATTTCTGCTCAAACTCCGAGCTAAACTTAAAGACAAGAACTTCTCTTTGCCCATTTAGTGTTGCCTTAGTAACCAGTTTCTAAGAAGATGATCAGGAAAGCCGATGAATTTGTCAGTCCCATTGGATGAAAAATTGTCAGCTATTTATTTTCATAATATAGGTTCGTGTCTCCAACAAAATTGTTCAAATGGAATAAATCGAAATACAAAATTGACAGACTTATATGAAGACCTATTAAACTA